AAATATATTATCTATGTTGTACAGTGGGAGCCTCTAATATTTTTTATTCATTTGTTTATTAAAAGAAATACTAAACATGCTATATTAAATGAATTATTTCTCTTCAACAAACTATGGTGTGAGAAGTAGGGGTTAAAATAAAGTGTCACTGAACTATAATGCAGGTTTGATTTAATCTACTTGATCCTTGACAAGGCTGATGAGCAAACTGATAGGCGCCTTGCTAAACATATTGTGTCCCTACACTTCGACAATCCCGAGGTAAACTTGCAATTATTTTATTCAAGGTTAAGATTCAAATTTAAGCGTTATGGCCTACATTGTTCCGTGTCCGTGTTATGCAGAATATGGAGCAGGATGTGTTGGATCTTTCTACATTAACAGATTATGTTAGCTATGCCCGGAAGTACATACACCCTCAACTTTCTGATGAAGCTGCTGAAGAATTGACTAGAGGTTACGTGGAAATAAGGAAAAGAGGAAATTTTCCTGGGAGTAGCAAAAAGGTAATGCTTTTCACTTCAGAAATCATTTCACTCTCTTTAGTATTTGCTTCTTGCACGGAGCTAAGTTTTGTTCGTTAAAATTTTACTCAATGGCTCTAACCAATCAATTAGCCAACAAGAACACCAATTTTGATGTAACTACTAGAGTAAATTTCTCAGCGAAGAATGACGTGCATGATCGGGCACCGATATTGTGTATTTTGGTATTGATATCTGTAATGTGAATGAAGGAATTTGCCATGTTGGAATTGTGAAGGTTTCTGTTTTTATTTTATAATGTATCTTTGACATGTTTGCTCAACCTTACCAATCTATTTAAACAGGTGATAACAGCAACGCCGAGGCAGATTGAGAGTGTGATTCGTCTAAGTGAAGCATTGGCTCGTATTCGCTTTTCGGAATGGGTTAGTAACACTCAATCTTCGCATGATGTACATATATGGAATTGTACCACAATTATTCAATAACCTGATACGAACAGGTCGAAAAGAATGATGTAACGGAGGCTTTCAGGCTTTTGGAAGTTGCAATGCAGCAGTCTGCAACGGATCACTCTACTGGTAGGTTTCCGGTCAAGCCTAGTTCTTAAATTTCACCTGGAAAAAAATTAATTGAAAATGTGTTTAATTTTCATGCCGTATTTTCCCCTTTGCAGGAACCATTGATATGGATCTTATTACTACTGGAGTGTCGGCAAGTGAGAGGATAAGACGAGAAAGTTTGTTGCAAGCAACACGCAACTTAATCATGGAGAAGATGCAGATTGGGGGACCTTCTATGCGGTTATTAGAGGTATGGTTAATTGTTATATATGAAACATGCACTATATAGATTATTTAGTTTCCTATGACTTTAATTAATACAATTAAAATGATCACGTAGTTATTGGAAGAATTGAAGAAACAGGAGACTGGTGTTAGCGAAGTTCATCTCAATGATGTAAGTCTGTAATTTCCCCTTTATAAAAGGAAACCTTTAACCTTATTTTACGAATGTCCCATTTCAAAGGATAAGCTAACTACTTGGCTAATATTTGTTAATGCAGCTAAGAAATGCAATAGCTACCCTGGCTACCGAAGGATTTGTTAGCATGCACGGTGACAGCCTAAAAAGATCTTAACCGGAGGCAGGCTCTAGCCGTGTATGCTGCTATTTCTCCTTTAGTTTTAGATTGTCCAAAAGCCTTATTAACAGTATGTATCTTGTGCTCATGTTTAGTACATATATTTTTTATATTGTTTTATACAGTGCATTTATAGGCCTCTTTAGAGTCATTTTGTTTTCTTTTTACTTTTCCTTTACCCTAGTAAACGATACTAATCAGACATCTCATGTCATAATTAAACGTCGACATCTTTAACAAAATCAATTTGTTAACATGGATTTTCTTTAGTAGAAGAGTTTAGTTTCAGATATAAAGTAGCAGGAGTTTACTGTGTTGTATTTTTTTTAATTANTTCTCCTTTAGTTTTAGATTGTCCAAAAGCCTTATTAACAGTATGTATCTTGTGCTCATGTTTAGTACATATATTTTTTATATTGTTTTATACAGTGCATTTATAGGCCTCTTTAGAGTCATTTTGTTTTCTTTTTACTTTTCCTTTACCCTAGTAAACGATACTAATCAGACATCTCATGTCATAATTAAACGTCGACATCTTTAACAAAATCAATTTGTTAACATGGATTTTCTTTAGTAGAAGAGTTTAGTTTCAGATATAAAGTAGCAGGAGTTTACTGTGTTGTATTTTTTTTAATTAGGCAATTTTGGCTCCAGTTATAATTGTATGACTTAGTTCATTGTTATATCCCTTTACATTCTGATAATATGGTAATTCAATAGTTATTTTTTTAAGTTGGATAATGCATTTTTGTTACTGTTAGTATGTTTTAATTTATTTAATAATTTAATAAGTGATTTAGTTTTGAGAAACTAGTAATTTTGGTACTAGTAATAAGAGTTGAATATTGATGTCAAATTATAGGTTAAAAAATGAACGATAATTGGACATTAAAAATTGTGAGGTTTAAAGTATATAGACATAAAAGAAACAAGTCAAATGGTAAGAACAATAAATATTCATTTATTGATCTAATGGGATTTAAAGAACAATTAAGTTTAATAAAGAAAGCTTTATAGTAAACGGATATTTTAAGTTGTAAATATTTTTATTATACATTTGAATATGGATTAAATATGTTTTTGGTCTCTTAATTTTTAGTGAAAATTGAAATTAGTTCATCTTTAAAACTTTGGTCTAATTTAGTTTTCAAATTTTAGAAATGTGTGAATGTAGTCCTTTTTTGTTAGGTTTATTTGATGTTTCAAGTGTGTTTCATGATAATATTTGAGTTGTTTATACAATTTGATACATTTTTGTTTTAATGTTAAATGAGAAATGAGTTTGAAACATCAAATAAAGTGAGGAACTAATTTCAATTTTCAATAAAAATTAAGGAATAAAAATACATTTAGACTTTTTAATATATATTGTTAGGTGTAAGATATTGCTGACTTAGTATGCATATACACTAAAAAGGCCATTTTGTAAAAGTTGAAAATTTGTTCCTTTTATTTGAATAATGAATATGGTGAAATTCAATTGAAAGTTTTAGGGAATTAAAAAAGGAAGCTAGAAAATATCATACCAAATTAAGGCTAATTTTTTTCCCATTAAATTTGTTTTAATGATTTATAAATCATATGGTCTGTCTTTTTTAAAAAATATAATGTAAGTGTATAATTTTCTAATAATTATTATAAAAGAAATATTGCATACATAACAGTTTGTATATTATAACAGAATAATTGTATACTATATATGCTCATACTGCAGATGAAACAAATCAATGTATGCAATGTCCAATTATTGCAAACTGTCACTGTTTCATAATTACGCATGGTTGACGTGGGTAGTTTCTTTGTCCGTGACACCCACTGAAAAATCTTGTCATGTCCTCAATTATCTACATTATTGCGCCCTTTTCTGTTATCGAAAAAAAACATTTCGTTTTAAAAAATACAAATCCCGATGCCTTTAGTAGGGAAATATTTTTGTTTACTTCCCAGGTTACTTAGAAAGGCACCATCTATAATCTCCAACCTTGCTTAACCATCTAACTATTTACAAAGATAATTGCCAAAGTGGTATTTAGAATAATAGTCCATTAATAACCATGTAATATTTGAAGTATTTATTCTTCATAATCAATTGTTCATATTTACCACTAGAAATTCAACTTTTAGGTAATATGCTATCATAAGGAAAAAGAAATATATATTATGATGACTAATGGATACTTATAGAGTAAGAAAAAGTAAAATCACTTTTTACATGTATTACAGTTCAAAATTAATTAGTTATTAAATTTATTGTTCTAATAGTTGTTGGACGGTTATCAAATCAATTAATACTTAGCTTATTATTTGAAATTTATATAATTTTTTAAAATTAAATTAAATTTAAAATCTAATTTTAAAATAAAGCGAGATTCAAGAATTTGTACAAATGTTACTGACAAAAAAAATTAAATATACCATCAACATTGGTATAAATTATCCAATTTAAAATTATGTACTTAACAAAAAGGAAAAACTTTCTCTTTGATTAATAAAAATTGAAGTAGATAGTTTTTACACATTCCTAATTTTAAACGATCGCCAGCGCAGCACCCTTGCCCACAGGAGTTAATGCACGTCACATTTTATTTTAAAAGTTTAAAGAGAGTTTTAGGTACGGAATAAATTATACTATAGAAGATAAGTTTAAAACACTAAAAAATATCTAAATATCTTAAATTGAATCAAATATTATATAATGTGATAAAATTCTAACATGTTTCAAAAAATAAATATGTTATTCAATTTGTTATTTTATTGAAGATTAATAAAGAAATATGTAAAGAAAATATTCTCTGATTTTATATTATATTTGATACGACTATATTAAACGATAAGTAGAATGTTATCAAATTATTCATTATTAAAATCACATGTAAATTTAAGAAAATACTTTTTTATTTTTACTTTACGTTTTTATACGTGATTAAAAAGTTATGACCTTAGTTTTATTTTATTTTGAAATTTTCAGCTATTTATGTGACATACAATTTAAACGATTAATTATTTCTCTTCATCTTTTTTACTTGTTCTCTTTTTAAAATTTTCTTAAATATGATTTTAATTTACTTTTATATATTGGATTCACACGTTCACACAAAATATATATAAAGATAATCTGATAAAAGTAAAATATAAAGCACCATAAAATCAATAATAGGAACGAATTAATCAAGCAATGATAATTTATTTTCTTCTTCAATAATAATAATAATAATAATAATAATAATAATTATTATTATTATTATTATTAATTGAAAAAACCTAACTGATATAATATTATGTAAAACTTAAAAGATATAATAGTTAAATTTAGTGCCAGGGAAAAATAGGTGAAAGTAAAAAAAAAAAAACAAAATTGAGCAAGGAAGGAAGGATCTTGAAGAGATTGGAAGGTAGTGATTCGATAAGGGGATTATAGAGAGAGAGAAAGAGAGGGAGGGAAAGAGACGGAGAAAGTCTCTCTGAAGCCGTAGTTGAGACTGAGATCGATCATTGCCTCGATCATCTGTCTTTGATTTCGCAGCATAGAGAGAGATAGAGAGAGTGAGAATGGGAGAGGTAGCGCGCAGAGGATGTTGTCCTCCGATGGATCTGTTTCGTTCGGAGCCGATGCAACTGGTTCAGCTCATCATCCCAATCGAATCCGCTCACCGCACTGTCTCCTACCTCGGCGACCTTGGCCTTCTTCAGTTCAAAGATGTTAGTACTCTTCTCTTCTCCGATAAACCCTTTCTCACTTCCCTCGTCTTTCAATTTTTCGTCGCTAACTCGTAATTAGGTTTCCGTCTTCTCCAAATCGGTTTCTCTCTCTCATCGCATGATTTATCTGCTTATTGATCTGAAAAGAGACTTGGATTCTGTTTTATGTTCGCTGAGGAGTGCAGGTTTACTGTCGTACTTAATTGGCCTATTTCTGAGTGATGATTAAACTTAACTTGATGTTTTTTTCTCGAAATTGATTAGTTATTTGAACTTAATCCCGGTGATTCATTAATCGTGGGTGAGTGGATGGGGAGAGTACAGTTTGATAATAGGTTTTTTATATTGGAATGCTGAAACAGCCAGGACGATGTTATTGTAGTAATCTAGCAGCGTGATACAGTTTTTCTTGTTTTTTCATAATTTTGGTTTGTATACATGTTTTTAATTAAGTTACAAAGGGCTGTTTGGACTAGATTGGAGACAAACGATTATCGTAGCAATTAATTAAGCAAGTTGTTCCTTGTTTTTATGATATGAAGCATGGTGTGCTGCTTTGAGAGACCTTTCTAAGCTTAATGTTTGTGTTGTTTCCAGCTCAATGCAGATAAGAGTCCTTTTCAGCGAACATATGCAACTCAGGTACTTTGTTTTTATGCTATTTGTCAGTCAGTTCTTTGTTTCTGGAACCTGTACATGGTCTTCTTGTTATTAAGTTTTGTGGAGATGTCTTGCAATGATTTGTTTTTAATGATGATTATTACTGGTCTTGTCTGTAACTCAGTATTTCTGTTCTACAAAATCTTCTATAAGGGAACGGTACTCAGCTGAAAAACCCAAGCCATCAATTGATGCGGAAATGTTCTGACTTTCTTTGTCAGCCTTTGTTTTTGGGATATGATTTGAAAATCATACAAATTTTGTCTTTACATTTGCACAACTTGTATCATATCATTTTAATTTACAATGCCAAAATTTTCCATAGGGCAAGAATGGCTTAGGTAGCGAAGAATGAGGGGAGTAGAATTTTTTCATAGTGGATTAAGCTTCTCCATTGGAGTTATTGTTTCTCTCACATGACTTAATTTTGGAATGTAGCTTTGCTATATATATTGATTGTGTGGTTGGCACAATAACTGATTTCGGTAAAGACTGGTTGTTATCTATTTGGTGTAAATCATATGGACTTTTTAAGTAGTTTTCTTCTGCAGCTTTACTGATGAAATGGGCAGCTTTTCTCCATTGATGTTTTCTTTTTCTCTTTGATTTTGTGATCCTGCCCTTACATTTAAGGGGATTTGTTGTCCTGCAAACTCATTGTATTTTCTTCTCTTTTTTTCATTCAATTTATTGTTTTACCAACAAAAGTATTGATATTATGTTTTTAAATTTGTTGGGGGATTTATATTTGGTCGTTGTGAAGATAAAAAGATGTGGAGAGATGGCTCGGAGACTGCGTTTCTTCAAGGAGCAAATGTTGAAGGCAGGTGTTTCACCAAAATATTCCACAACACCAGTTGATGTGAACATTGATGACCTTGAGGTACATGAGCATACTTGTGGACAGAGTTCGTTTCCATTTCCTTTTTATTTTCTATAGTTTATAATTTGACATCTGGCCTGTCTTGTAACAGGTAAAACTTACAGAAATTGAGTCAGAGTTAGTTGAGATGAACGCAAATGGTGAGAAGTTGCAACGTTCATACAATGAGCTTGTGGAGTATAAGCTTGTTTTACAGAAGGTACTGTGCCTATAAAGAATACTATGATTTTTGTTCAAGAATGAAATCTTATTGGAACTGTCCAGTTCACCCTTTGGAACCATATAAGATCCTCAATAGGATGAATTGAGACGGTATTTTGTAGGTACATAATTATTTTGAATAAATTTACTATTTTTTTCTTTTCCTATTGCCTAGAAAAAACAAGATGTTTCTTTTGTTCCTTTTTAAACAATTTTTTATCTCTAGTAGACCTATGGGTAGGATTCGAAAGTTTTGACCACCTGTCAGATAAAAAAGAATGAGTGGCTCTTGCAGGATTCTTAAGAAATTCTTTGATTTCTTCAGGAAGCATATGATTATTCATCTTGCTTCTCACGTTCCATGAATAGTTCGCACATTGAGAAATATCCAGAAAGGAATATGAAAATAATTAAAAAAAGAGTAACTAATGTCTTTTCCTTAATAATATTGCAAAAAGTGAAAATAGAAAATATTTGGGTTATAATGTCTCACATTGGCTAGGAATATGATCAAAACACTAATTATAAGACTAGGGTAATCCTCCCCCCGAGAGCTAGCTTTTGGGTTAAGTTAGGCTTGATTTACTTAACTTCTAATATGGTATTAGAGCCTATCCAATCTTAATGTTGGGCCATCTGCAGATCTTCATCCCTACAAACCTCATGCTTCACATGTCCAGTTTTGGACCCTGAGGGGGTGTGTTAAGATATCCCAAATTGGTAAGGAATAAAGTTAGATTCTCCTAATAAGACCTAGGCAATCTACCTGCCCCAAGCTAGTTTTGGGGGTTGAATTAGGCATGGTTCATGTTTTACTATGGGTATTTCTGATATATGCTGTACTAGAAATAGGATATATGGAAGTTTCATTTTTACCTATTGTGTATTGGATCTTCTCTTTTTGTTTCCAAAAAATCATATAACCAAAGTGCTTCAAATATAGTTTTTCCTATTTTTATAGAACTTAACTAAAATCAAATATGGGCACTTGAATCACTTCTGAACTTTTATTTTCTTCCCTTTGTACTCCTTAGCCAAACTCAATTTATTTTCGTATGCTTGCATTGGGGTGCTTCTTGACTTATACTATTCCACTTCCTTGTTTGATTGATGCATTAAAATTAATTTTAGCGTTAGTAATTGTTGTATGCTGCTTAGGGAAGAGAAATGAAGAATTGATAGAATGATCAGTTTTATTGAACAACTGGAAATAGGAGAAAGAACTTTTCTTGAATCGGTTCTCCTCTCAAAGGGATTTCTCGTTTGTACACACTATTTCTCTCAGTGTATCCCTTCAACCCTATTTCTCCCTATCAATCTAATTGACATCCTCTCTAACTAACTGACTGCTCTAACAATCCTTAGCTACTCTTCCCTATCTTCCTATCCTAAAATCTGGTGGTCTAAAAATGGGATATGCTTGATATAATGAAGAAAGAAAATGTGTCCATACATGCTTTCTGCAAGCTAAGGAGAGATACAAACTTAGATTTGCATAATGTTTACAAAATTACACAATTTTATCTAAATCAGCGAATGAGAGGTATATGTGCTTTCATTTTATGTTGTATTCTTGTTAATTTTGTAAGATTGAAATTTTAGATCTGTGTTGAAATGTAAAGTTGTTTTATTATTATTTCTTTTGTGTGTGCCCAACTTTAGGGTTAGGGTTTAAGGTGAGTTCCTTGCCTCTTTTTGTAAGACGCACACACATTAATAAAAGGTACGACAATGTAGGTTGAATATATTGTGTTTTCTCCATCCGATTTATTCAAGTTGGTATCTCAAGGGGAACGGTGCCGCATTGTCTTATCCTTCATTGTCTCTATCGATGTCTGTCTTTTCAACAATTTGGAAAAGAGTTGTTATTTCTTTTTGTTTTAGTTATTTTGTATTTCATTGATGAATTATTTTGATGTACTTGAGTTTATTTAATGAAAGACAAATTTGAGATATTATTTGTTTCTTCATTGAAATTAAGAACCAATTTAGGAAGATAGTTAAAATTCTAAAAAATGATAACGTTAAGGAATATTTTTTGTTAAGTTTTTTTCATTCTTATCTTCCTAGGGAATTTTACATCAGTCAACATGTTCTTACATTCCACTGCAACAGAGAGGAAGAATAAACATTTTATTGAAATCACAAGCTTAATAATGTTCCTATTCATCATCGGGGGAGATGCAATCCTCAGTGCCGGTTTCCTATTCAATAGGATGCCTTCTTCCTTACTCTATAATTTTTCCAAATGAATCATGTCTCTTTGTTTTGTTCATAATGTTCTTCAGGACTTGACAAGCTTTCTTCAAATGCTATTAAGTGTCTTAAGTATGAAATAAAGTGTTATTGCCTGATCTAGTGCAGAAGCCAAAGCCAAATATAGATCTATATCCTTGGTTACATGTGAACTTGTGTGGATTAAACAACTCCTTCAAGAGTTGTAATTTTGTGAAAATGAGTAGTTGAAATTGTATTGTGACAATTAGACGACTCTTCATATTGCCTCTAATTTGGTGTTCCACAAGAGAATTAAACATATAGCGATTGATTATCATTTTGTTTGAGAGAAGTTGTTGCTCAATATCTTATTATTGAGTTTGTCAGCTCTAATGAACAACTTGTAGCCCTAAGATTGAGTTTATATTTTCCAAGCTTGGTGCATATGATCTACAAGTTCCAGTTTGAAGGGAGGTGGGGGGGGGGGGGGTTTAAA